GGTCACCTTTCCTGCCTCTAGGCAATTTACCTGTGGCGCAAAATGAATACCAATGGGCTAACTGGGTATCACTAATGCCCTTAGGCACCACCCCAAACCTAAGCTACATAAATGCCCCCACACCACGTGTCTGGCGGAGAGAATGCCAGGCCGCCAGAGGTCATGGAGTCTCTCTCCACATTCTTAAAATAAAGGCCACTTTTATTTCATACTTCTTATCTTTTTAGCCGCGGCAAAAATTCTATCAGATGGTTCCCTTCCACGCCGAAAATTCTATCAAGAATGATGATTGATGGGGCTAGAGGATGAGGGAAAAGGGAAATGTCAGTTAAAGAACTCTCAGGGTCTGGAAAGATGGCAGAACAGTAAACAGCAGAGTAAACAGAGAGAGAGAAACAGTCCAGATGCTGGAATATAGCATTCTGGAGAAAACAAGAAGGAAAGAAGTGGGTCCCCTCAACACAGGAAGAAACTAAAGTGAGAACTGAAAACCATAAAGAGAATTAAAAAAAAAAAAACAAAGAAAGAAAAGAAAAACTTAAACAGAAGAAGGCAGTAGCTGGCAGCAGTCTCACTGGATCCGGTCCACTGTGCAAGAAGCACTGTTGGAACCCAGAGACACACGGTCACAGTGAAGCTGGTGCTAACAAGCCTGAAGGCCTAGAGAGGAGATGCAGTGGCAGAGGGGAGCCAACAGACCAGAGAAGTGCACTGGCTGGCAGTGTGGGGGACTCAGTCCTCTAGCAGGAGAGGGCAATTGGCAGGGAGTCATTTTGGAGTTGGATAGGATAAGCCCAGAGGCAGACCTGCAGCCAGCATCATTCAGCCACTCCTAGCTTCAAGCAGACTGGTGGAAATTGCTTGGACTGAGTCCCACCCCTGTGTGCAGCCCAATAGCCACTGCTGAGGTTTCCCTAAAGCTATCCCTAACCAACCCCATCTGCCCTGCGCACACTAATATGGTGAAGACTTCCTGTGGTTGACCAGCTCAGAAGGGAGTGCCAGCCTGCCCTGCCCTGGCTTACACTCCAGTAGCCACCAGCAGACCTAACCCTAACCCCAACCCTAAGCAGCAAACAGCAGAAATACCTAGTCATCACACTTCAGAGTAATTATAACCAATACAGGAAGTGCCGGGGACCCCATTACCCACTTGTCCAGAAGAAACCAGGAACGTGACAAGAGGAAGAGGCAAAAGGCAGCCTCTGGCCTCCAACCCAAGCAGTCCAGGAGATGTAAACATGGAAGAGATACAGAGTCGCACATCTGCAGTTTCTGAAGCAACGGCAACTGAAATAAAGAAACAACTCCATGAAGCTATAAAAGAACTTAAAACAGAAATATTATTTCAGGTAAAAGAAGATATGAGAAACATAATAAAAGAATTGCTAAACACCTCTAAAGAAGACACAGATGGAAGAATAGAGGAGCATAGAAAAAGGAGGGAAACCTTCAATAAGAAATGTAAAAAAATTTAGAATACATGAAACAGATTTTAAGAAATTACCAGGAATTTAAAAACACCACTGAAAGCTGGCAAAACCACTTGAAAGAAACTAAAGATAAGACTGTCAAACCTTGAAGACAGGTTTGCAGCTTGTGATCACAGAAGGAAAAATCGCTTTAAAATAACAAGGAACTAGGAAGTAACAATACAAAGGCTAGAAGATGACAAGAGGATCTATAACTTAAGAATAAAAGATGTGAGTGAAGGAGCAGGGGTAAATGCAAATGAAATACAAAGGCCATTTACAGATATAATTAAAGAAAAATTCCCAAGCATAGGAAAAGGAAATGATATTCAGACAAATGAGGCATACAGAACTCCAGCCAGCTATAACCAAAATAGATCTATACCTAGACATATAATAATCAAGATCCTAGAAATTCAACACAAGAACAGAATTTAAAAGCAATCAGAGAAAAGAAACATTACCTATAAAAGAAAATCCATCAAAATCATGACAGAATCCTCAACACAAACTATCAAATCAAGAAGAGCTTGAAGTATTCCAAGCCCTGAAAGAAAATAACCCAGATTGATATACCCTGAAAAACTATCTCTCAGAATTAATGGAGAAACAAGATGCTTCCATGACAAAGAGGAACTGTGGGAGTTCATGACCACCAGTCCAACCCTACAAAAAATACTGAAGGACATTCTAGAGAGAGAGAAAAAAGACCATGGTTTCAGGAACAACAGCAGAGAAGACTAGCTGAATGGCGCAGACAGTGGAATGAAGGGGAAAAGTAGACAACCAACGACAGAAAAATAACATGGCAGAGATGAGGCAGAGAAGGTTGGCCATAATCACTAATATGGATGGCCTCAACTCACCAGTAAAAAGAAACACAGGCAGAGTGGATCAAAAGATAGGGTCCATCAATATGCTCTATATAATTATATAAATATAATTAACCCAAAAGAAGGTTTATAGACTGAAAGTCAAAGATGAGAAAACAATGCTCTGTGTGACAGGGAACCAGAAAAAAATGGGAGGGGGGAGTAGCTTGCCCATCAGCTGCAGATTGGTTAGAAAGCCATGACACTTTTATATAATGGAAAACTACTCAGCTATAAAGAAAGAAAACCTTGAGGCTCTTGTAGGTAAGTGGATACAACCTGAGATCATGCCCAGAGATAAAAAGGCTCAGAATCACATAGGTGAATACTGGGTTGCCACCCTAATTTAAAAACCAAAGGAGTTAGTGGGATACAAAATGTACAATGAACCCTGTGAAAGTAAAAGGGGAGGAATTGTCTAAATAGGGAAGGCAGAGGCCACTGTTAATCTATTATCATGATTTGAAACCCCTATTGTTTTCATCATTCTGTTTAATTTGGTTTTATTCTGTTCCAGTTTGTCTATTAGATTTGATGGCCTGGACAGCTATTCCAAAGATAGCAGGCTATATTATGGTAACCATTTTTTATTTCCTATCAACTTGATTTGAAGCCCTGTATTGCTTTCACTGTCTTGTTTTGACTGATTTTATTTGATTCTGTTTTGTTTGATAGTATCAAATCTAAGGGTATAGGCAACTACTTTGAAGACAATAAGATTCACTATGATACCAATTCTGGTTTGACTATTATCCTTTTTTGAAGTCCTATAATGTCTTCAATGTTTTGTTTTTATTGGTTTTGTTCTTTACTGTTTTGTTCAATTTTATTACGTGATGATATGGGCAATTTTTCTGAAGATAACAAGAGGCATTATGGTAACTATTGTTACCACCTTGTATTTTGTTTTCAAGTCATGTACTATGTCCATCCTTTTGTTTTGACTGACTCTATTTTATTTTGTCACATTTGGTTTTATTCTTTTCAAAATTTAAAAAAAGAACTCTCAGTTATGAGTAAATTCTGTAGATTTACTGTACAGCATGCTGAGAATCTTAGTTCATTTATGCTTCTGTAACAAAAACACCCGACTGTAAAGAACAGAAAATATTGCTCTCAATTCTGGAAGTCAGAGAGTTCAAGATCAAGACTGACGAGGCCATCCCTCTGCTTCCCAGGTGGTACCTTGTTGGTGCACCCTCCTCCAGTAGGGAAGAATACTTTGTCCTCACATGATGCAATGGAAGAGATAAAAAGGAGCAAACCTCTTCCATCAGGCCTTTTCATGAAGGCATCGAATCCGACTCAGTCACCGCCTAAGGATATACTTCTTAATTCCGCCACATTGGGATTAAGTTTAGATATGAGTTTCCTTTTTCTTTTTGGTCTTTTTGAGACAGGGTCTTACAGTGCAGTTCAGGCTGGCCTTGAATTCACTGTGCAGCCCAGGCTGGCCTTGAACGAGAAGTAATCCTCCTACCTTAACTTCCCAAGTGCTGGGACTGCAGGCATGTACACCACACCCAGCTTCAGTATGAGTTTTTGATTGGACAAAAACATTTAAACCACAGCAGTGACTATATTTAATACTGCAATGTATACTATACTTTAAAGTTACAAAATACTCTTTTTTGCAACTTTATAGTATACATTGCAGTATTAAGCACATTGCAATAAAAAAATACAGTGATTATGGAAGGTGATAGATGCATGGATTAACTTGAGTCTGGTAACCATTTCACTGTGTATATGTATATGCAATCACCATCCTGCATAACTTAAATACACACAATTTTTATCTTTTAAATAGACCTATTAAAACCATAAAATATTTTGAGGAATAGATGAGCTAAAGAATAAAAAGCTCTCGACCCACAGTAGGTGCAGTTGTCGCTCCTGTATTTACAATTTTTCCTCAGTGTTCATGGAAGATTGACCCCTGACCTACCACAGATATCAAAATTCATAAACACCCAAGCTTCTTAGATAAATACCCAGGTATTTTCATGTAAACCACACACATCTTCCCACAGACAATCAGCCCTCCCTATCCAGGGGTTCCACATCCACAAATTAAATCAGACACAGGTGACAAAGTCCAGAAAAATACTTTCGTCTGTTCTGGACATGCACAGATGGTTTTTCTCTTGTCGTTATCCCCTAAATAATACTGTATAAAAGTATTATATAATGTTTACAGTATATTAGCTATTCTAAGCAATATAGATATGATTTAAAGTACAAAGATGATGTGCATAGGTTATATACCGCTCTACAGAAGGGAGTAGACCACCCACAAATTCTAGTATTGTCAGGGTTCCCTCACAGACCCCAAGGAACAACTATACTTTAACTCTTCTCTGGATGACCTAGAAGACCTAATGCAATGTAAATGCTATGCAGATTGTTGTAATACTCTGTTATCTAGGGACAAGAAAAAGTCTCCATATCCAGTACAGGTGCAATCATTTTTCAAATATTTTCAATATTCAGTTGATTGAATCCATAGATGCAGAAAGTACCCACAGATACAGCAGGCTGGATCCTCAACCATCAAGCTCTTCTGCCCGAGCTTGATTAAGTAAACTGAGAGATAAACACAGTCATCAGTCACACATATTTTATTTAAGTTCAGAAATCTACTGAGGCCAGCCTCTGACAGTTTTGTCTTCTGTTTGTGGCCTTGGACTCCAAAGCACTAGTTCACTTGTGTGGTAAGTTTGGCATGTACTTGGGCTTCACACAGCACACTTTACCACTCAGGCAGAACACATAAAATTTTTCATCCTTTGTGCATTTTTCCCGGCAGGAGCCACGCTGCCTCCAACATCTTTCAGTGTTGCCTGATACAAAGAGTAAAAACAAAGGTGCCTTTGTCAGTCATGAGAGAAAATAGGTCCTGGATTGAGAACAGTAAGAGGTGATCACAGAGGAAGGTTTCGCCTCCATATATTTAGAATGGCATGCAGCCGCATGCCCACTCCGGACACACCACATCCCAGCCCTGCCTGAACGTCCCCTCTCAGAAAGGCGGTGGGTCAGGATGGTGGAGAGCAGGGATCATGGAACCAGGACCGGAACTGAAATCTGTCTGCAGCACAGGCCAGCTGGTCGACCTTGAGCAGAGGGCTTGCTCTGTCACAGCACCAATTCTGTGTCTTCTAAAAAGAAGATATTAACACCTGCCTCAAAAGTTGTTGTGAGAATCAAATTAAATAGTGTTTTTTTAAATCAACATTAAGTAAACTGAAGTATGAAATGAAAGGACTTGGAAAGATTCAAAATTCAAAAAATCATTTCATAAGTCAAAATTTACACAGCAGGAACCCATTAGCAAATAAAGCAGGTAATGGCTTAAGAGAAATACAGAGTGGAAAAGAGGATATTTTAATCAAGAAGAAAAAATAGGAATCAAAGGAATGTGCTAGATACGGATGATAGGCAAAAAAAAAATAAAAATAAAAATCCAACATAATAAAATGAACCACTAAAGAAAAAATAAGGAAACAGGACAAAAACTCTAAACTATTTCAAGTAAAAATTTCCTGAGGTAGAAAAATAGTTGAAAACAAATGCTAAAAAAAAATTTCTCAAACTTAAAAGGTTGATAGAAAACGAATGTATTATCCACCAAACTGATAAGCAAAAAGATTCAAGCATTTATCCTGCCTTTCCCCACTAAATTCTTTAAGACCCTAAATAACCAAATAGTGGCTGAGGAGAAACATCTCTTTGGCAAGTGGTTCAGTTAAGGCATGAATGCTCTTCCCAACAAATTGTGCGTAATTCCCCCCCCCCAACACCAAGTTTTCATTCAAACAGTACTTGGTATTACCCCTCATCTGGTCACCCTCCCCAGGCCCTCACCAAGACCCACTCTCCTCCCCCTGCTCTCCCCTTACAGAGGTGCAGGTTACCTGGAATGGCCTGGGACAAGAGCAGCAGCACAACCAAAGTTAGCAGAAAAGTCTTCATGACCACGGAACCAACAATGCAGGGTCAGGTCTGGCAAGAGGCCACCGCAATGGGAAGGAGCTCTGGACTCTGCTCTCCCTAATCAACCAGGACATGTGTTACTTACACGTGCCTTCAGCTGCCCATGGGTACAGCCTGCCCTGAGTCACCCTGCCTCCCTCATGTCCAATCACATTCCCTGTGCTTCCACATCCACCAGGCGGACCACACATCCCTGAGACGACAGGCTTCCTTTTGTCCATTTTCACCTTTTAGGGACCAACAAGAATAAACTGTACAACAGCCAGAGGGATGTTGTTTTCAATATACATCACCCCTTGTTAAAAAAAACCAGCTTAAAATCTACAATACACTACAACCTTTAGTATGCCCTGGCACTGAACTCCCACATCCCCAGCACTGAAATCCACAACTATCCTGGTTCTAACATAAACTGAACAACTTCTTTTCTTCAAATGCATTTTTCCACTTTGGGAGCTCACTTTGGGAGAAAGAAGAAAGACCGTTCGCTATACTCGCAGGAGAATGTGTCTATTACAATGTTTTTATCTAAAAGAACAGATTCTATTACCTTAAATGCTGCTTTAGGAAAGAGGGCAAAAGAGGACAGAAAATGTTGAAAATGTTCACCTCTGTGTCCTGGCTGCGCCACTTAGTGCTTTGTGACCTTGGAGGGTCTCTTCCCCTCTAGGATTCGATATCATCAGTGAGCAGATTGGATCAGACAAGCTGTAAAAACCAACCTAATTCCCCTACACCATATGGGTCTCTGGATGCAAAAAAAAAAAAGCGTAGCAAATGAAATAAATCAGAACTCTGGGTTTCCACCACCAACACAGATCTAGCTAATTGGGTTTACACCTAAAAAATCTTAGGCTGTAGTCATTAAACCCAGATTCTCTACACACCAGGCTCTAAGGCCTCTACCTTTGATACCCGAACCCAATATGTTATATGGCCCTTGAAACCACAAATCTCTCTTTGGGCTTGTTCCTAGTATAGTCCAAGCACGAAGATTTGCTCAGATTATTATAAAGGCTCAGTATTCTCTCAGGATGTCGATCAGACCTCACCATCTGCCTGTATTTGATCAGCCAATAGTATGCTTTTTATAGTATCACTTGTACTAAATTTCAAAGACACCCACCATCATGAAGCTTCTCCCCATCAAGAAACAGAAGCTATTTCCCTGTCCTTTAAGTCTAGGCTTACCTTTCAACTTGCTTGTAACAATGGGACGTTAGCAGAGGATGCAACTAGAGGCCTGAAAAGTGCTTAGAAACCAGGTTACATTCCAGCACCTCATCCTAGCCACTGCTCTTGGGAACCCTACCACGTCTATGCTGTAAGCCAACCAGGATTTGCTACTACAAAGCAGTCATCAAGCTTCCCACCAGGTAAGTAGTCACTCAGTTCCGGACCCTCCAGCCACAGCCACAGCCGCCAGATCTCCCCACCCCTGACACACACACCAAAAAGAACCTGCCCAAACAAACCTTATAAGCAATCTTGAATTTTAAATGTTTAAAACTGCTACAGTTTTGAACAGCTTGTCACACAACAAACACTAAATAATATGTCGTCCTTTTCAAGATGTTAGCAAGGTTGGCTGCTTCTCCAAGCAGAGTGAAAACCTGTCCTATTCTCTCCCAGCTCCGCATGAACAATACTGGGCATTTCTTAGCTTCAGGTAGTGTAATCTCTGTCTCTGGTATCACATGGCACCCTCCATGTGTGTTTATTCAAATTCTCTCTTATAAGGACACCAGCCATGGAATTAGAGCCCACTTTAATTTGGTGTGATTCCACTTTATTACACTGGCAAAGATCATACTTCCAAACAAGTCATACTAATAGGTATCTGGTGTCAGAACTGGAACATACATTTTGCTTTTCTTTTTGTCTTTTTTTTTTTTTTTTTTTTTTTTTGTCTTTTTCTATCCGTACCAGGGATCGAACTCACGACTGCACACGTGCAAGGCAGGTGCTTATGCCGCTGAGCTAAATCCCCAGCCCCTCTTTCTGCCTTTTTGAGACAGGGTTTCGCTATACTGTTCAGGCTGGCCTCGAACTCACAGCAATCCTCCTCCCTTAGCTTCCAGAGTGCTGGGATTTGAACACGCTTTTTGGAGAAGACAACAATACAGCCAATGGTATATTTTTAGAAATTTTTACTATGAATGAAACAACCTCTTTCCATACATTTTAGGCCCTTTTATCTTTTTATGGATTGTCTATTCAAAGTTTGCTATTGTTCTATAGAATTTGTTTTATATCTTCCCATCAGGTTGCTTTTCCACCCTCAATTTCTGGAATTCTTATTCTTAGGTACTGTGTTCAATTGACTGGTTCTCTAACTTTTCAGATTTTTACCTCCTAGTTTCCACCTGACGGCCTTTTTCTCTAGCTTCTGAGAAATCATTAACAAAGTTATCTTCTAGGCTTTCTATGCATCTTTTCATTTTCTGCTCTCATTTTTTAGGCTCCTTGACTTTGTCTTTTTGTATCAGCCTACATTTGTTTCACACTTACAGTAGCTTTAGTTTCTCTGAGTTTTTTAGTGATAGTTCCTTCTCTGTAAAATATGTTTCCTATAACTGACTGGTTGGTTATTTTGTTTCATATTAGATGGTTGCCTCCAATCAACAATCTTGTGGCTAATGATTCTTAACCACTCGCTCATATATAAGTGTATCACTGCAAAGCTTAGAAACTGTGTGAATATATTAGTTCTGTTTGATTTTGGTCTCTAACTTTCATAAGATTACTTTGATGACAATACTTATTAGCATGTAAGCATGAGGGACTAAAGTGCTGCATGGGCAGAACTTGCCAGTCATGACACTGACAGTCAGGTGATGTGGTGGGGGATATAGTGAAGAAGTGTCAATGTCAACAGACCTTTAGATCTTTTCTACGTCCCTACTAATCTGCTATGCATTCTGGGAGCTACACAGAGAATTACAACTGGGGGCTAAAGACTCTCCCAGCCACCGGTATACATGTGTCAGCTAATCTCATTCCCAGTTTACTGAATGTATCACCAGTGATGTTTGGAAACCTCAGGAACAAAGACCTTCTTCTTCACTCTTGATAGAGAAAATCTTTAAGCCTTTTTTCAACTTATAGTAGTATAGATACAGGGTGATGGCTGTCAGTATGAAAAGAAGAGACCGTGCATCTAAGGATCAGATCCTTAAATATTATTTCAGCCAAACCTCCTTATTTTAATGCCCTGAAGCATTTCTCTTTTTTCCTATGTTCAAAGTGTCAGATTCTGCGCTTTTCTTTATTCTGTGGTTTAAATTAAATTGTTCTTTGTTTTTCTCCACTGTGGACTTTGATCCAGTTTTCTCTAATCAGCTAACTCATTTCTGATTCATCAATCTGCTTTCTGGCCAAACCACTGTGTTCTTTAGAAGAAGGGGAAATCACTACTGAATACGCAGGTGGCCACTGCAAAGGTTTGAAGTGAAGTTGGTGGACTGCAGGACACACACATTTTAAGGATTTTCTGCTGGCAAACACTCTCTAGAAAGATGCACCAGTTTGTATTTCAAGATCAAAGCATTTCTCTTTGCCCATATTCTAAACATCTCAAGAGTATCAATAAAATAACCTTCTTGCCAAACTTACGGGACAAATTCATACTGTCACATGAATTTATTTTTCTTTGATTTCTGACTCAATTGAGAAAGTGGCCCTCTGACCCTCCAGGCACAGGCTGTGATGTCTGAGGTGCACACCACGCGTGATAGGCCTTGGTCTGTTTCCTCCACACTTACCACTTACAGGTTTCCTACAGTAATTAAGACACCTAGGAGGAAAACAAAGGTTTCAAGATGCCACACCCAGGGGCCAGCAGAGGCCACATCAGCCAGGGCAAAACCAGGAAGGAAGCCACACCACCTCCCCACCACCACCACCATCACCACCACTGAGCCAGCTGCAGCCTGGACAGGGAGAAAATAAGAAAAACACACCTCCCTCCCCCCAGCAAGAAATTGGCTAATTCAGAGGAACAAAGGCTGAGATTATAACGGAAGTAAATACACAGCCTAACACCTGTATTGTTTGATAGACTTCACAAGCCTAAAGCCAGTAGTCTGAGCAATTATTTAGAGGACAACAATATGCAATATAGTAATTGTGGAGGATCTCACACTGTTCTATTTTTGAAATCTAGTATCGAGTTCTCACTGTGTTGTTTTGTTTCGTTTTATTGTGCTGTTCTATTTCCTTTAAAATTTTTTTTAAAAAATTTTACAAGGTTTCAAAACCAAGCAAAATGAATACACTGATTACACAAGAAGCAGGCCCAGAGATACAGTTTTGTGAGAGCCACACAGTATATTTTTCAGGCTGGGGTCAAGGACAAAGATCTCTGAGGTAGGTATTTCAGAGACTTAGTAGCTGATGAAGGCAACATAAAAAATCCATAAAAGAAAATCTGATTACCCTGGCCTATTTGGATATTAAAAACCTGGATTTCTACACTTAGAGAATCATATAATACAATGGATAAAGGGATCCTTACTGCTCATTTGCTCAAATTCTTGACTAAAGAGATTGGGACACAGAAAGGTATAATTCTTCCAAGATTGCACAGAAAGTTAGTAGCAGAATCCAAACTAGTCACTGAATATTTTCGACTCTGGCCCCTTTCTCTCTATTCAAAAATTCTCCATGTATCTAGGCATTTTAGGTGATGAGAATCTCACCTCTTTGAGAAAAAAGAATCCAATAATACATATTCCCTAAGAGGGAATATAACCCCTGCATGCCCTGCCTTCCAACCCTAGACTGGAAAATCACATTTTGCAGTGTTCTGTGGAACAGGCTGGTGGACATTTAGACAGCCTTGGCTAGGACAAAATTACATTTCTCAGCCTCCTTCCTTACGTGAAACTGTATTAGGATTTGCCACCAACTTTTTTTTTCCCATGAGATTTGGGAGATGAAAATGAGGCAGCATCCACTGTGCTCTAAAAGTTGTCACTGATCAGAGATAGTAGGGGGCAGACACAGGGTGTCTGCATGCTTGGGTTGGTCCTCACATTCCCTGTTCCATGATGCTTCTTCCCAGTGGCCAGCCCAGTGACCAGACCAAAGTGACCCAGAGCCCAGGCACATCACTAAACACTTCTCCAAGAACTCAACAGTAAAACAGTGAAGAGCCAGTGGGCTCGCACAGGCTTCAACACCAACTCACTCCATGGTCCCACTGCAGCCTGGTCACCCTTTGCCACAGGGCTGATGAGTGACTTTTCTCTGATTTTTTTTTAATGGTACTGTGGATTGAACCCAGGGCCTTTGCACTGAGCCCTTTATTAATTTTTTACTTTGAGACAGAGTCTTACTATAACTTGTCGAGGTTTGCATGGAATTTATAATCCTCCTACCTCAGTCATCCAGAATGCTGAGACCACAGGCATGTGCCACCACACCAGGTTCTCTGATCCTTTTCAAATCTTTGCTTTGGGCTGGGGATATAACTCAGTGGCATAAGTGCCTGCTAGGTAAGCAAAAGGTCCTGAGTTTGACTCCAGGTACCAAAATAAAAACAACAACAACAACAACAAAAAAAAAAACAAATCTTTGCTTGCTCAGCTTCTCCCACAATTAAATAAATACTTTTTACAATAAATTTCTTATTCCATAATGCTCTTAATGGTTCTGCTTCCAGGATTGAACCTTAACTAATTTATATTTGAAAAAACGAGGCTTTTTAGCTTGAATAAATACAGCGGCAATGGAAGGTTCCTGGGGTTCGGGCACTGAGTCCCTCTCCCAGCTCTTAGCCACTTTATTGTAAAGGTTTTGAGAAGAATTCCACTGACCTCGCTCTTTCACTTACCTTTCCATCTTCAGCCCCGTCCAATATGTTTTGTGTTCCTCCAGATGGTTTTCGTGATTATTTTACGTCATCAACCCCATACTAGCTTTTCCACCCTTGATCCCTGTGTCAATAGATCAAGTCAGGAAATAAAAGCCACGTAAGCAGTTAAAACAGAATATTTAACAGAAGGAACAGTTTCGAGGTGTTAGGAACTGTCGGTGCAGCCACCCCTCAGGTGCTGGGAGCTAAGGAGGAGAATGGGTTTTCAAAACCAGGCAGAGGAGGCGCCCTGGAAGGTTGACTCGGGAACTCTCAGGAGGACCTGGCACCCAGAAGCCTGGGCCTGTGAATGGGGCCCCTGAATGGTCAGCTGCAGCTGGTGCTGGACACACCACCTCCCCATGCCGTTGCCCTCGGGTTTTTTGCTCCGGTTACATCACGTCTCACTTTTCAACCCCAACAGGAGCCTCAGTAGGACGCCCCTCTGCCCGGAACCCACTGAGGCTCATGAACTTCTGCTGTTATTACTGCCTGTCCCTGTCTCCGAGGTTCGTGGCGCCCCCCTGTGGCCCCTTGCCCACGGCGTTGAGAGCCTTGCATGTCTTGGGCCTTGGGGCTTGGCCGACTTCCCTGGCTGACCCACAAGGCCAAGGGAGGCGGTCAGCTCGGAGGGCTGGGCTCCCACTGCGGGCTAGGGCCGTGGGCAGCTCCCGTGGGCAGCTGAGCGCACGTGGGCGTGACATGTGCTCCAGCGCCAGGCCCGGAGCCCCGGAACTGGACACTCCCCACGCCCCCTCGCCTCGCCATCGCTTCTGCTTGCAGCTTGACTTCGGGCTCGGCTCTCTCCAGCATGAAGCTCCTGGTGCTGACGCTGGCCATGCTGCTGCTCACGGCGCATCTCACCCCAGGTAAAGCCTGGGCCTCTTAGGGGAGGGCAAGGGGTCAACCCTGAGGCCTGGTCAGGGACTCTCAAGGGCAGAGAAGACGGGGCAGCAAGCGGCCACCACCAGGAGCCGGGTAGAGGAAGCCACTGGCCAGCAACAGGTGTCAGATCTTAGGTAACCACAGCACGCAGAGATCAGGCGCCTCCCTCCTCCCGAGGCAGACTTCTGTGTGAGGAAGGAGAGGGCAAGAGGCCCCGCCAAGAGAAGGACACACGGCCCTCTGGCAAAAGGGTAAAGCTCGCAGCCACCGTAATGGGAGAGCCCTCTCTGCGCCAGAACAAAGTTGTTTACATGTGTCCAATTCTGTGATTCAGTTCTGACTCTTTGACGTCCGATTTCCGTCTGGTGTCATTTTTCTTCTTCCTGAATAGCCTCCTTTAACATTTCTTTAATGAAATCCCTGGGTTTGATCTCAAACACTACAAGAAAAGCCTTAGAGTGTATTCTCTTTAGACCTCTGCAGCGTCTCCCCCTCCACCACCACCACCATTTTGGGACCCACAAATTCCAGCCAAGTTGCCCTTTTTTTAACTTTAGTTTCTATTTCCTTTGCTCAGTAAAACCATTAGGGGTGGGGGCTGGGGATTTAGCTCAGGGACATAAGCGCCTGCCTTGCAAGCAAGCGGTCGTGAGTTCGATCGCCGGTACCAATAAAAAGAAAAAAAGACAAAAAAAAATTAGGGGTGCCCCTTCCTTCCATCATAACCCAGAACTACTTCCTAGCAGGGATCAAGTGCAATCACAGCACTCCGCTAGCTGTTGCCCTTGTCTCAAGGATCACACACTGTGCCGATACATTGCTCAGTGTTAGAAAACTGTATTTCATATCCCCACCACCGCCACCACCGCCATTATCTTGTTGCTTAAAGTAGGAGGGTAAATATGGCCCCCGTTACTCCATCTCAGCCTGGAAAGGCCCCATTTCTTTCCATTTTCACATCTTTCTCATTTTCTATTTCCCTTGACATATTACCTGTTGAGGTTGTTTGTTTTTTTCTCTTCCAGGTTAGTCATTTTTCTGAAAAGTTTTTTTTTCATTGATAATAATTCATTTCATCACTTCATTTCTAAAATTTTATTTAATTTTTGAATTTTTGTTTTGTTTTGTTTTGCAGTGTTAGGGATTGAACCCAGGACATTGCATATGCTAGGCAAACATTCTAAGTTACTCTCAAACCCTTACTTTTTGTTTTGTTTTGTTTTGAGGCTCAGATTGGCCTCCAACTTTCAACCCTCCTATCACGGCCTCCTGAGTAGCTAGGATGACAGGTGTGTGCTATCACACATGGCCATTTCTGAATGCTTTAATGCTGGTAGGTTTTATCTTATTTTTAATATGCACAGTAGGTGTCTGAAACAGATGCTGTTAGCCTTTGCTGAAGAGCTAGCTGGTGGAGTTGGGTTTCACACTAGGCCTTTGGAGTTCTGACAAGATTATTCCCTAAACCATCATGTGCCACCCCTCCTGCAGAAAATGCATGTAGGGGACGAGGATGGGGACTGAGTGTCAGAGAAGTCATGAATTGTAAGGCCCTCAACAAAGTATTTTCTTTTTGTTCTCCCTCTTTTCTTGCTGTGTTGCCCTTGTTGGACTTGTCAAAAGGAAACCACTTTAAAAAAAAGGGGGGGGGGACCACTTGAGTGATTCCCATGGAACTTAAATGCTTTGTTGATAACTGTCAAGTGAGGTAGGCTGCAGTTTCTAATAGAGAAAGCAGTGATCCCTGTCTTTTGATTTGCCTCGTAGCTTGCTGCAAAACTCGCAGTTGCAGTGGTTGAGCATTGTTGCCATTTGTCCTGCCTCTTGTCTTGCAGCCTTTTGATGCAGTTTGGTCCTGATAGTTGCCAGAACAGTTCTCTCCAGGGCAGTTTTTGAACACGTTCTGGTTAGTCTAGATTCAGGGGCAAGGTAGGTAGCAAAAAACACAGTAAAGGAAAAACAATAATAATAGAAAGGGTCAAAGGTGACAGAAGGGGCTGGGGATTTAGCTCAGCGGCATAAGTGCCTGCCTTGCAAGCAGGCAGTCGTGAGTTCGATCCCCGGTACCGATAAAAAGGAAAAAGACAAAAAAAAAAAAAAAAAAAAAAAAAAAAGGTGATAGAAGTTGGGAATCCTTCATCACTTCTCTTTTAATCCCTTTAAGTCCAGAGCCTCCCTCTTTTTAAGATTGACGTCTTTCTTCTTTCTCCTTTAAAACAGGTGATGCTCAAAAATGCTGGAATCTTCTTGGCAAATGCCGCCACAGATGTACCAAGAAGGAAGGTGTCTATGTTTACTGCACAAATGGTAAAATGTGCTGCGTCAAGCCCAAGTATCAGCCAAAACAAAAGCCGCGGTGGTTATTTTAAGGGCTTTGAAGTCTGAAGGCAGGAAAATGCAGAGGCTGCCTGAAGTCTGAGATATGTGGATTCTTGAGCTCTGTCAATAAACACGTCTGGCTGATCACTGTGCCTGTTGTCTAACCCAGTGGTTCCTGGGAGGTCCACTTTCCTGGGTGGCTGAGAAAATCAAAACTATTTTCGTAATAATGATAATAAAACATCTCACTCTTTCACAATTCTTTGGCATCTACAAGACCTATGATGACATAACTGATCTGGTAGCTAACAAAAACGTGTTTATGTAGTCTTGTGTTTGAGGCTTGAGGAGCAAGTGTATTCCTTTTCAGAGTTTGCTTTCAGGAATTCTTGTCCTTACCCAAACTATCTTTGGTTATTATCCAGTGAATCATTACTTTGAAATCCCAAAACTTTCCTTGCACAAGAAATAAGGACACTTTATTGTCCTCATCTACAAAAGTACAATAACAACCAGATTCAACAGCCTAACAGGAGAGGGGTACGCTACTAACACTTACTCTAGTTTCTGCAGGGAAGGAAAAATAATACTCCAGTCTCTGTGGTTCTGCACCCTTCAAGCTCAGCCTAAGCAATTTAATGAGATCCTGTCTCAAGATACGTAATGATAAAGGGCCAAGGATGTAGCTCAGTGCAAAGGCCGTAGGCTCAGTCTCCAATACAGAAAGAGAGAATACAGAGACGGAGGGAGACAGGGAGGGGAGAAAAAGGAGAAGGGGAATGCAGAAACTCCTGGACACCATCTTCCTCCAGGCTCGCCATCTCAAACCCTCTCCTCTGTGGCCACCCAGATAGGCACCTTCCTGGACGGGGCATCGCCTTTGACCAGCCAGGTACCAAACCCTCCCCTTCCTGAGACCCACCTGCACCTACCAGGGCCCCGAAGGGAACTCCATAGGAGGCTAACCTGCTCTGCCACCTCAAGATGCTGACCTCTCGCTGTCCTCTCTACTGAAGCAGGCAGGAACCTCGACCACCATGCAAGGCTCGGATTCCAGCCTACAATTGCGGGGGCATCCATTTGGTGTCCCCTGACCCCCTGGCCTTTCCCAAGCCCCCAGGTCACCTCCCCAACGCGGCCCTTCGCCCCGCCCCATCTGGGCTCCGCCCCCAGGGCTCGGGCTCCGCCCCCAGGGCCGGTTTAGAGGTCCGGCAGGTCGCGGGCAGCAGCTGTCCGTCTGCAGCTGTTGCCTGGACTCCTCTGCCAGGGCGCCCCCTGCCCGACCCCCACGCAGGACTCGGAAGTGGAGCAGAGACCCGCCCCTGCTCCCCTCCGAAGCCCTGTTCTTGTTCCTCACAGCCGGGTTTAACCCCACCTTCGGCCCGGCCTGGGTGTCCCTCTATGGCTCTCCCCCGAGTGGGGGACTCCGGGATGGACTTCAGAGTCTCAATGAAGGCGTTGGCCCAGGCGTTTGGTTCCGCGGCAGACTCCTGGTGGCTGTGTCCATGGAGGTGTTTGAAGGGAGAGCTGAATCTGAGGCACCCCAAGCCCCACAAGGATCCAGATTGTCCCTGCTCACCGGGGAAAAAGAAGAGAGCCAGGCGGAGGAGCCAGGCCCCAGCCGGGGTCCCGCAGCAGCACGGAGCCGCCAGCTCCAGTGGGGATGGGCCTGAAATTCCTAGTGCCGTGGAGGTGGAGGTGGAGGAGTTGCTGCCTCTGCCAGAGGTGGGGGCTGGAGCCTCTCAGCTCTGGAGGGTGGAATCTAGTCCCGGGCATTAACCGCCAAGGCGTGTGTGTGTGTGTGTGTGTGTGTGTGTGTGTGTGTGTGTGGATTTTGGGACCTGGGTGAAGGGTACACAGTGCAAATGTACATGAGTTGGGGGAGGGGAACTGATCAGTCAGGGTGGCCCAAAGAGGACCAGTCCTCCGGGTCAAACTATCCGGCTGCAAAGGGCAAAAGGGAGGTAGGATGCCTGCAATGACTTTCTAATGACTTGTTTATGACTTTCTTTGGGTGTCGTGGCCAAACATTGTTCAGTCTGCTGTCTGGGAGCTGTTAAGAGCCCAGCCTGCCTGCCTTCCCAGAATGCCCTGCCACTCCGGGAAGATTTCCTGCTTTTCCACATGCTCATCAAGGCCACCATAATTAGTCCTGCACTAGGCTCACAGCTTTGAGATTGATATTGCTGTGTGGCTTGGCCTCACCCCCGAGGGCCATACGTTTGGGGGTGGTCACTCTAGTTTCAGACCTTAGGCCCCTGCAAGGGGCTTCGGTAGTGGCTGGGGTCAACCTTCTATTGAGGCAGAGGTGGCTGAGGAAGGGATCTCACCCTCAGCCTGTGGCCTACTGATTTGCTGCTCTGGGAACAGGTTATGCAGGCTCCTGGGGGGGGGAGCAGCTGAGCAGAGGACCCAGGGACTAGAGGAGAACTGAGGACACGGAAGTGGAGGTGCAGCCTCTGCTGAAGTCCTAAGATATGGGGGCCAGCTAGAGGAGAAGCGGCCTGAGCCTGTGGACTGCACAGGGTGGGTGCTCCTGGTGTGCGGGAAGAGGGTGCTGGGAGATCCACACGGGTTCTCAAAGCGTCTGCTCCCCTCCGTCTGGCTCAGACCTTATGTCACCTTGCCCCTGAGTCACTGCATGCGCCTGTCGAACCGCTGAGACAACCACACATGGCACCTGGAAAGCCATGACTATGCGTGCAAAGTGGCCCCGAGGCTGATGAGGGCAAAGCTGATGCCTACCAAGAAAGGAAGGACCATGGAATGCCAGAGTGACTTTCACCTTGGAAGGGAGCTCAGGAACGGGGCGAGTGGACCGAGCACTAGAGAGCAAGCACCTTGTAGGTGCAGGGGCAGAGGGAAGTAGATAAAACAGCACAGCTCCTGGGAAAACTGTGGGGCTGACTTTGGGGGAGGACGGAGGTTCAGGATTGATGGACCCAGGAAGGGGCTGGTGATGGAGCTGGGTGGACCTACTGAGAGCTGGGCCCCATAGGCTGGCACCCTAGAGAGACTAGGAAAACGGAACCATGAATCCAATGGAGCTAAAGAAGGGCAGGCCTAGAGGTGCTGTGGAGAGCGGGTGGGGCATCAGGGTTGGGGAGTGGGGTTTGGGACAGCGAGATTCTGACCCTCTCCTGGGTGTTCAGGACCAGGGGCTGCAGGAGGTTGAGAAGATACAGCGCAAGCCAGGGCTGGGTGCCCACCTGTGGCTCAAGCAGGCTCTGGAAGAGCTGGTGGCTGGGAGCAGGTAAGCGGAGATCAGCCCCTGCAAAGGCTTGTGACCACCTGCGGCAGGTGAGGGAGACTCATGAGGGCCGTTTGGACTCAAGGGTGGCCAAAGCTCAGCACTTCACAGAAGAGTAAGAAGGAGATGATTGACCCTATCAGTGGAGTCTGACGAAATTATTGGGGTAGGCTGCTCCCAGATGTGTGGGTGCCTTTGTTGACTTCTGCCTCCCCTGAACTCCCTTCCCCCTGTCTCCCCGGAGGAAACAGAGGCCTCACTTCCTCCACAGCTGGTGCCTGGCCCACTGCTGCTTCGGCATCTGCTCTGGAGCCCTTGTGGCCCTGGGGGACGTGCCCTCCCTCACTGCCTGGGGCATTCACTCCGCCATTATCCTCAGCTGGCCCCTGTCCGCTGGTAGTTATCGGGTCATTGCTGTAACCGCATAAACATGTTCTTGCTTCCATCTTTGACCCTTACTGCCCTGCATTCCATAACCTCCAGGCACTTAAGTCCTTTTCTGATACTCTTCTCAAAAGAGTTATTTGCCTACTTCAACACATATTTATGACACTCATTATGGTAGACACTGTCTTAGGCACAGGGATAGCAGTGAAATACGCTCCTGCCACAAGTCCTTGAAGCTTATATTCCTGTGGCAGATAAGAGAAGAGACACAGGTGATAAACATGTAAATAAAGAGAAAGAAATATACTAAGAAGGGTAAGTGTTGATGGAAATAAAGGATACATTAGAGAGAGGTGTGGCGATTTTATAATGGGTAACGAGGGGAGGCCACTGTAAAGGTGACTCAAAGATAATGAAGAATAAGTCATATCTATGAGGGTGTTCCACCCAAGAGGTGTTGGCATGTGCAAAGGCCCTGAGGTAACAGCATGCTAGGTGCTTTTAAATATGAACAAGGGAACCAGTGTGACTGCAGCAGTGTAAGTAGAGTAGATGAAGCTGGAGGGGGGAAAGGGGAAGGAGAGTCACAGGAGAACAGATCATGCAGGTGTCTCATAGACCATTGTAGTGACCTTGACTGCTTCTCTGAGTGACCTAGGGAGTTGCTGAAGGTTTTGGAAAGAAGAGATATGCTCAAGTCACACTTATTCTTTGAGCAGGGATGGGGGAGTGGTAGCGTAAGGGAAGAAGCAAGGGGATCACTGAAGTCAGCCTTGTAATAACCCAGGTGAGGGATGGTGAAGAATCTAACCTGGGGTGGTCGCAGTACAGTGTATCAAGAAGGGATCAATAAGAAATTGTGGTGTCGGAAGTGAAACCTCAGAACTTGCAGATGGCCAGGCATACACGGGGTGGAGGAGCATGTGTGAAGAGTCGTGGGTGATTCCCAAGACTTTGGCTTGCACAGCTGTGTCGGTGGTGCTGTTGACACGAGGAGAAGGTCTGAAGCAGGGCGGGTCCTGGAAGCTCGCTCCGAGCTCGTTAGCTTCAGATGTCTGTTAGACTTAGGGGTGGACACCTCTGGCAGCCAGCCAGCAGGTTGAGCCCTGGGGACAGTGTGAGGCTGGAAATACAAATTTCCATGGGAGCTGATGCTATGTAGACAAGACTGGGTAAGATCACCTGGGAGCAGGGAAAGCGATCTAGGACCTGGAGAGCTCCAGCAGGGCAGAAGAGGGGGGTCCAGCCGAGACCTCGCAGCAGTAAGGGCAGTGGGGTAGCAGGTGGGGTCACTTTTCTGTCTCACTTTGCTCAGCTTTCAGGGTCCGTGGACAGGTGGAGCCCACCCTCCATCCCGAAATGCTCAGGGTGGTTCCACACTTCCGTTTTCCCTTCCTGGTCTCTTCTGCTGCCTGCACCCCTCCCTCCTCGACCCTGAGCATTCTAAGGGCCTTGTGTGAACCTCACAGAGCTGCACTGCAAGGCTCTCTTCTGTCTACACCCCTCA